TTTTTTCTCTACTAATGAGGGTCATAAGTAGAAAGGCTTTGTCAGATACTCTTGGAAAAAGGTGAAGCCTGTGGGATTTATTGAGTTTGATAACAGTTAGTCCAGGCAGTACGGGCTCCCTACCTCAGTGTTTCTTAACCAATCAGTCTCGTAATTTACTCTAAAGAAGATGATGAGATGCAAAAAGCATGTTTATGTTTATTAAACATGATTAAAGAGTTCTCTAATCAAGCCACAGTGACACTCTCAGCCACGCTTAAAATGTAAAACACCAATTGGTTTGGACTGCAATTACCAGATTAACTTGCCCTTTCAAGCCATCTTTGAGCAACCTCTATGGTCTGGGACACTACAGCTGTCCTGCTTATAAAACAAAATGGTACGAGGTACTATTAAGCGGCCCTTTTATGTTGGACAGGGACCAGTGATTTTTCCAGAAAACCATTCCACACTGAAGACTTTAAGCCTGCAACAATGTCAGCAGGTAATGCTTTAAAGTTACTCAGATGCTTTCAGAGTCACCTGCAATCAAATCAGGAGTAGCCTGCAGAAACCAAGCAGATGATGAAAGACATGATGTGAAAGGCTAGTAAAGTGTCATTCCTTTCTGCCAAAAGTGTAAAGACGGACAGAATGCTATCATTTAATACAATTGTGCTAGTTATATTAGGCTCAGACACTAAAAGCAACTATTCTGATTGATATCTGTTCAGTAAATCAGACTATTATGAGAGGAAGCATTGTGTTGTATGGGTCCCGTGCTGCTGCTTGTTTCACTGCCCCACTGTCCCTGTGAGTCAGGGGCCAGGTCATGGTCAAAGGTATATACCCATATAAACCACATACTATCAATACTTCAGTATGCTTTTATTTAAAACCCCCACACACCTTTACTGTCTGCTTCAGGAGTACACAGCTCTCTACTGATTTAATCATGCTAATAGACTAAAGGGAGAAAACCTGATTCACAAAGGACCCTGTAACGTTTAACATCAATTACTTCATTTTTGCTATTAAACTGATTTTTTTGGCTTTGTGTATGGTGCAGCCAAATGGTCTGCTGCCTTTGGGAACTATTTCACCTATGTATTACAGGAATACAAGAAAACACACACCTTTACAGAGAATTGTGCTTGTCCCTTTGAGATTCATCGCTTGGCTATCCTGCCTCAGCCTCTTAATAAGGCTCTCCCTCCTTTTTTCATCTACTTCTTTCTGCTGATAGTGTTGGTTTTCCCCAGGCATTAGTTGGGCCCCTGCTGAGGAGTTAGTAATAGCAGGGGGCCTGGATAGTAAACAGGTTGCATTACAAGTGTAGTTGTGACAGGAGGTCTGTGAAGCTAACCAGTTCTGATGGCCAGTGCTTGTTCAATTCCCTTTCCCACATGCTGCGTTGAATTCTGTGGCAATCATCCAAGCTCGCTACACAGAGCATCGTTCAGTGCTGAAACAATGTATCAATTAGTCCAGGCTACCGCAAGAACATAGTGAGAGATGAAAGAGGAGCAAAAGCTGGATTTGGATGTGAGGACAGAGTGACTAAAAATTGTGGGTGGAAAAGGCTACGGGAGAGAAGCAAGAAAAGTGTTTAAAATTGATATGGCAGTTGTGTACTTAAGAGGTCAACAGGAAATGCTACCTAAAACCATGTTTTAAAACATGAATAAATAAAATGTTTTGGGAAAAGACAGCAGTTTATTTAAGACTGACAGAGAAAAAACAAAGATGAACTGATCCCAGGATAAAAATGTGAGAACACCACTGATTTAAGTTGCTGAAAAATAGGATGTTTTTAACTTTTAAAGCTGTTCCACACCGAGGGCTGTGGTAGCTCAGTGGTCTGTGGTTTAAAAACAATTGCCAAGTCATTTTGCGAGTTAGTTTGCTGTGGCGGCTCCTGAAGAAGTGAGCAGCCAAAAGAAGAAGAAAAAAAGTATATATATATATATATATATATATATATATATATATATGAATAAAAGACTGAAACTAATGAAATTATTGCATTTAATCAAGGTTAATTGCAAATGTTTCTTCACTATTTCCTAAGGCCCCCCCAAGAAAACGGTCAGTATTGCCCTTTTAATCTGATCCACCGTCATTCAACAGTTAATAAAGCTTCAGGTAATTATTAAACTAAATTTTACTTTTCAAAAATATATTTTAAAACAAGTTTCATTGAAAGGTGCCATCATTCTTTTGGCTGAACTTTTTTAACATCAACAAAACTAATTGGCATACATACTGTATATAAACCGCCCACTGTTGCATACGTATTTTGGACATACTTTCAGGAATATTAAAATATGCCCAGAAGCACATATATTCACACTTCAAAGTGTGAGCAAGAGATGAACTATAGAGTAGAAAGGGTAGGCGAAGGAGTGATTAATGGATGGAAACTGAACGCACTGCTGAGAAATTGAGTGGAGACTTTCAGGACTGAAGAAAAGGCATATATTCAACATTCCTCTTTGAATGGAGGACACATGGCTGCATTCCTTTAGTCGACACCTTGTCATCCTCTCAGTGATTCATTTTTGCTTTATGTCCTCCATACCTGTGATGTTCCTACTTGTTTTTCTTCCCTTATTTATAGAAAACAAACACTGAAACTCCCCATCACTCCCTGTCCCTGCATTATTTCCTTTGTGCCCAGTTTTTGAAACTGCTGTTTACAATGCATTTACTTATTGATCATAGTGTGGTGATCAAAAACTGATTACTACAACAGTCGGCTTGCCTATTTTCAATTAGAATACACATTTAATAAAGTCACTGTCTTTTGTGTCTGTCCCTGATAAAGCACACACACCACCATGCACATTAATATACCAACACTTAGACTGGTTCTTCTAATGCGTTCCTCTCAACACTCTCTTACCACAATGGACCCTCTGTACCACAAAGCTGACCAATGACCTGGCACTCTAACCACTGAGATAGTGGGGCAGTGAGCAGGCGGGGTTTAACTTTGAGTAGCCTCTACTAATGGGATGGACTTGGTTCAGAAACCCAACTAATAATCCATGGTCTAGGAAAAAATCAGAATCCATTTAAAAATGCTCATAATGGTTTTGGTCAAAGCAAGTCCTCACTGGATTTGTTACTCTCTTCAGCATCAGCACAAGGTAAGTGAAG